TCTCCCCAGCTATTTTAGTAGTGCTAACCCTGTGCTAACCCCTAAAGGAGATTTACAGAAGACTTGGGAACACTATAGGCCTATAAGCCTTACTTCTGTCATGAGCAAACTCATAAGCAAGATCATTGTGAGAAGTCTTCAACCACATCTTGATAAGATTATCTGTCCAAACCAAACTGCCTTCATTAAAGGTAGATCCATTAATGATAATGTGTTGTTGGTACAAGAACTCACTCTGGATTTAGATAAAATCTGTAGAGGGGGTAACCTACTTTACAAATTAGATATCAAGAAGGCTTATGACACCATTGACTGGAATTTCATCTTGGGGATACTTGCAGCTAGAGGTTTTCAACCAGAAATCTCATCCAAAGGTGTAGCTTATTAACAACAACCACTCCATCCTAATCAATGGCCAACTCAAGGGGTCCTTCACAGCTACCAGAGGACTAAAATAAGGTGACCCACTTTCTCCCACTAACTTTATAATTGCTATAGATTACTTCTCTAGAATGCTTGACAGGAACATCCTCAACCAACAGTACTCCCCACCTCATGTATACTAATGATATTATGATATTTCCCAATGTCCAAAAGACTGTTGTGAAGAAAGTTTATAAATGTATACAACAATTTCAGAATTACTCTGGGATGGAGTTCTGCCCTACTAAATGACAACTTATATTTAACAAGAGGGTTTCTTCCAATATTAAGCATTGGATCTCCAACTACACTGGCTTCTCTACTGCTAGGGACCCTGTGAAATATTTGGGGGTTCAACTCATACGGGGGAGATAAAAAATGACCCAATTTGATGAGGTATTGCAAAAAATACAGAAAACTCTATCTAGATGGTCTCATTCTTTCCTATCTAATGGGGGTAGAATTACTCTCCTTAGAAACATCTTAACTACCTTCCCCTCTTATATTCTCCAAACCAACTAGCTCAAGAAAAGCACCCAAATTCAGTTGGAGAGAGCATTCAACAGACAGATTCTTATATTCTTATGGGCAGGTCAAAGACAGCAGCTACACTAGGCTTCATGGAAGAAGGTAGCCAAACCAATTACAGCTGGGGGACTGGGATTCGAGGGTCTCCAACAAGTAGCACAAATAAATTTCTGTAAGATGTGGATTCACATCAGAACACAAACTTCCCTGTGGGCCAAATTCATGTATGGCATTAAATGCAAGAGCCAGCACCCATCCCTAATTTCCAAGAAGCTGGGGGACTCCAGAATCTGGACTAATATGCTGAAAATCAGAGAGATAGCTGAAGACATGTATACAAGGGATTTGGGGAATGGCAAAGTGAGCTTTTGGCTTGACAACTGGTGCCCAAATGACTGGCTTGGGCCCTCCCCTTCAGACTTTAACCCTCAACTCTCAGTCTGTGACCTCTGGGATGGGGACTCGTGGGATGTTCCTAAGCTCCAATCCATTCTACAGGAGCCTCACCTATCTCAAGTCACTAAGACTGTGTTTGATAATGGCAAAAAAGATAGGATCATATGTCACAGCTACACTAACCAAAGCTTGACTAAAGCTATATATGCTAATTTAAGTGAATGGGATAAGGTCAATTGGGGTGAAGCCATTTGGAACAGATTTCTATCCCCTTCCATATCCTTCTTCTGTTGGAGATTCTTCAACAACCTCCTGCCAACTGATGATATTCTTAAACTTAAGGGATTAAGAGGACCCTCTAGAAGCTATCTCTGTCTGAAATCTGAAGAGAATAATAACCACCTATTTTTAAATTGTGAGTTTGCTCAAGATGTGTGGAAAGAACTCCTTACTAAGATTAAAGGTGAGAACTTGGATAAGGACTGGTCTAGTCTTAAAGCTGGTTGGCATAGCTGGAAAAGTAAACAAGGGGAGTCTATCCCCTTCATTGTGGCTTGGTTCTTGTGGATGTGTAGGAACAACAACAAACATGAAGATAAAATTACTCAACACACAAAGGTGACTAGAAACTGTGTTTCTTATTTAACTAAGCTAATCCAGCTTAAGAACTTCCCAAGCATAACTCTGTCTCAGACCAGTGCCATCAATAGTCACAAAATAATTGAGACTGTCACTTGGCAACCTCCTGATTTTCAAACCATGAAAATTAACACTGATGGTAGCTTCTCTAAATGGGGTGCAGGGGTGGGGGGTTTCAAAAATTCCTCTAGCAACTGTCTGTTATTCTTTCATGCTCCTATAGTGGCCAATGATGCTCTTGAAGATGAGCTCATTGCTGTTTACTGGGCCCTTAGATTTGCACAGAAAGTAACATGGCAGAAAGTGTGGATTGAGGTAGACTCTTTACAGCTGATCACCTTGCTTACCACTGATCAGCTATCCTCTTGGCATCATATGCAATGGAAGCAGAAAACTGACAAACTTTACAAGAAGTTCAAAGTCCAAATGTCTTTCATATACAGAGAAGGAAACCAACCTGCTAATTGGTTGGTCAGACAAGGAATCTATGCAAACTCCATTTTTGTTGATACAAGACCTCCTACCTCTCTTGCCCTTTTACGCCATGGTGACAAGCTGAAGACTCCTCACCTCAAATTCAAGACTAGTCAACTAAAAGAGATTTAGTGTCCTAGGGCTTCTCCCTTTTTCTCTTTATTTAGCTTTTTTACTCTCTTATTCTCTTTATTTAGCTTTTTTACTCTCTTGTAAGCAATTTTGAGGATTGGTCTTCCTCCTTTTGTTTAGGGACCCCTCCTTTGGAGCTTTTGTACTACTTTAAATGATCAACTTGTAGGCAGCCAAATAATGCTCCTTCCTTATATTATTTTATTTGTGCAAGTGAAGACTTCACATTATATATGATTTACCATTTATATGCCTTACTTCCTTATAATATGCCTTACTTCCTTATATACAATTTAAGGAGGCTTTATACCAATCTTAAGGAAGGAAGGAGCATTATTCTTAAATGATCAACTTGTAGGATGCCTTAATCCTTGTAGGATGCCTTAATCCATGTAGTATTATACCTTCTTTACTGATTCTCTACACAATTTCTTCAAGATAGGTTTAAGACCACCTTAAATGAAGTAAGGCACATTATTCTTAATTTTTTTTAAGATTGGTATAAAGCCTCCTTAAATTGTGTAAGACATCTGATTCTCTACCCAATTTCTTTGAGATAGGTATAGGACCACCTTAAACGGAGTAAGACATTATATTCTCATCCTTCGAGATAGGTATAATAGCACATTAAATGGAGTAAGGCATCCTATTCCCATCTTTTGAGATCGGTATGAGACCACCTTAAGTGGAGCAAGGCCTCTAATTTTTTACACAATTTCTTTGAGATAGGTATAAGACCACCTTAAATTGAGTAAGGCATCCTATTCTTATTTTTTGAGATAGGTATAAGACCACCTTAAATGGAGTAAGGCATCCTATTCTCATATTTCAAGATTGGTATGAAACCACCTTAATTGGAGTAAGGCATCCAATTCTCTACACAATTTCTTTGAGATATGTTTAAAACCACCTTAAATGGAGACCACCTTAAATGGAGGAGTAAGGCATCCTATTCTCAAATCTTCGAGATCGGTATGAGGCCACCTTAAATGGAGTAAGGCTTCCAATTCTCCATACATTTTCTTTGGAGATAGGTATGAGATCACTTTAAATGGAGTAAGGCATCCTATTATCATTTTTTAAGATCGGTTTGAGACCACCTTAAATGGATTAAGGAATCTAATTCTCTTTCTAGGGTTGATACTGAAAGTTCAATTCCCATCCACCCAAACTATTACAATCAAAATCAAAGTTTTCTAACAATCAAATTGAAATTGTATCTTCATTGTGACTGTCGTGGTTATTTTTGGAACTCCTTTCCTTCTAACCCCCAGTGAGAGTTCCAAATCCTCAATTTTAATGAAGTCTTCACCTGTCAATTCCCTAGTAGAAATAACTATTACTCAATTCTGCTCTTTGTTTCAGGTCTGTTGACTTGGAAGTTTGTGTTGGTGTTGTTGATCTCATCGGTCAACGCTAATACGTGTGGTCTGCTTGCCCAGCACACCACACCAATTGGGGGTACATTTTTTTACCTCACTTTTGGTTGAGATCTAGTTTTTCCTCTTTAGTAGCCTAGGGTCTAGCCATAGGACTTTCCTGTTGTCTATTCCTGGAGGACTAGAAAAGGAACCCTCGCTATTAGAAATTCTAAACTCTTCTTTACTCAACTTGAAGTTCCACATGTTGGTCCTAACCTCTAGCACTTAGTAGGTGGGGTCAATATGAGGGACCTCAAGAGGAGTTTCCCATAAGAATGGTTAAGCCTTAGGACTAACCCTAGGTGATCTGCTCTTGGTTAGGCTACTTGCACACACTACATTTTCTCACACACCCAAACCCTAGGACCCCGTGATTTGATCTCCTAACCCCTTTTGGAAAGCTCATTTGGGTGGACCCAAACCCCTAGCCCTTGGCTAGGTTAGGACCTCAATATTGGGCATCCAAAATGAGTCACAATATGGTTGTCGGCACTATTTTTGGTGTGGGGTTTGCCAATAAGAAGCTGTTGGTCATCGGAATTGAAATCTCGTTGCCCGCTTCGGAAGGAAATTTTTAAAAAAATTTAGTTTTGAAAAAGATGAAGTCAAACTTACCCCATAATTTTCATAGTTTAGATGAAAGAGCGCTTTATCTCAAATCCTGTATCTATCCCAAAGGATGAACACAAGAATTGAGGGTGAGACTCGATCAAATAAACTAAAGAAAATTATGACATCCATTTTGGTCTGCAAAAACAATGTATTGACCGACAAGTTCCCTTATTTAATATAAGGAATTAAATAGGGTTTATATTATGCTGGGTTCGGGAAAAGCTTCCTATAAGGGCAAGCCCCTATAGTTAATTACATCTTAG